TACAAGTAGAGTTATTAGCGACGTAGACATTAAAAATTAATGTGGCTGGGCCATGTGTTGCGTATGCCTGAACACCGATCACCACGACGCTCAATGATGACTAGTGTTGGTTTGGTTAGTAGAAAGTTAGGGGCGGCCAAACCAAACGTGACATCAGTGCTTGAATTCACTAATTTCTAGTCTGAGCCATGTTGGTAGATGTAGACTACTTGGTTGGGGTCCATGTGACTATCGTAACCAATGGTTGGAGACTGTGTGACATGGCTCAGAATCGATAACAATGGCGTCGGTATACACACTCGCTGTCTTCCCTTAAACCATGAGATTAAAATTACTTTATACTTTTCTTTCTAATTCATATGCTATATCCTTATATGCAATCTTTCTTTTACATATTACCACCATTGAACCATCTACTTCTATGAATCCGGTGTTCATCTTGTTGTGCTAATGAGGTATGGCAACTTGGACCGATGCATATATGTGCTTAGTCGTACATATTGATATTAGTTATATTCCAACCTAGGAAGTCTACATCTATGCACACAACTTTGTTCAACAAACAATTATATCATGACATAATAAAACAATGAATTTATCAAATCTAATTTGAGTGATATTATTGTTAAAAGGATTATAATATTAAATATCTTATATCTAGATTAAGCGTATGCATTTCATTGAAATACTGAATCTGCTGAATTATTTCAGATATTCCCACTGTTGTTTACTATTCACACTACTACTACTACTAGTAGTAGTAGCATTAGTAGTACTATTACCACCACCACGACCATCACTACTACTACTATTATTACTATATTGTTCCTCTCTTTCTGAACTGATTATCAAGTGAAATTTTTCGAAAAAAACATCAAAAAATTCATATACATGAAATTAGAATATATCAAAAAATCTTAATCCAGTTTACCACAGCAAAACATGTTACTTTGCCCTTCAGTAGAATAGAATTTAAAACACTTTTTTTTCTGTGATTGATCAACAATATCTCTATTTATCAGTTATTATTCCAGAGAAAAAAAATTTTTTTTTGTGGTTAAGTCCCAAATGTTTGTTGCTTAACAATTATTGACATAACACCATTGAAACATTGAACTGTGCAATTAGTTTACATTTTTTTTTTAAAAAAATCATGCTTTTTTCATCGACCCCCCATTAAATCACTATTATTATTTTTTTAACAAAAAGTATATATTTTGGAAACATTTATCATAGTGTTACACAATTGTTTCATTGAATTTTGTATGAAACAATTCTTCTGTAGCCTTTCTAATAATTACAGTCTTTATTTCATAGAGAAAAATATAAAATGCGTTCATTAAAATTGAATATAACTGATATGTTTTCTTTGTAAAAATGTTCAAAACAGTTGATTTTACAGTTATTTCTAAACAAAAAATTTTAAAAAATATATTAATCTTAACAGTAAGGCAGAACTTCATGTGCATTAACAAAATGTGTGGGTTTGTTCGTATGTGTGTGTGTGTGTGAAGGAGAGAGAGTGTGCATGTGAGAGAGAGAGAGATAAAGGGGAAGGAGACAATTTTATAAAAATAAATTTCATGCAGTTCATAGTCCATAAGATATTATTAGTAATATTATTGTTACTATGATTCAAAATCTTTTACTCGCAGTTTCTGTGTCTTTCTCTCTATCTTTGCAGGTATAACTCTGTGTGTGTGTGTATGTTTAAGACAATGAACACATTTTGTTCGCTTTTGTGATACATAATAAGAGAGATATCATTAGAAAACGATTCATATATCGATTTACAATGAATGTAAAGTTATAATACACTTATTACAACAGTTCTCTTTAATTAGAATCAGGGATATGCAGTTTCTCATTGAACAGTTTTTGAATACTTCTAAAATTCAAACATAATATAAACACAATAATAAATTATTTTACATACACACACATACACCCTTTGATTTGAATGATTTTATGGAAATCAATAATGTAATTCAAGTGTTTTCTCTTAACTAAAAGTCAACACTTAGTTGCGAATATTTGTGTTCAAAGTCGTCATATCAACTATCAAATAATAGAGATACGAATAGCTTATTTCTAGTTAAATAGTTTACAAAAGATAACCTAACACTGACACTTAATAATCCAAGATGAGAATTTCTATATAAAGATGACTTCCTAGTTGATATCAGTTAATCTATGACATAACCTGTGTTAGATATCTAATATGCCCAATATAATTCTAGTTATTTATTCGTATTGTTGTTTTTGTAAATAGAAACTATATTTCTTTATTGTAATTGAAATACCAATATAAGACAATTCATATCTTCTTTTCATATCGGTTCATTGGAACTTTATCTATCAGTTAGTTACAATTTTATACAGTTTCTCCTCGTTAGTTATATCATATTTCATCTTTCTGTTGTGTGATATACATTTTAATGACTAAAATAAAACTATTTCATAAGCATTGTAAACATTATTGTCGCCATCGGTTTCGTTTCCATCACAAATTTAATGTTTAGGAAAAAAATGGGTAGCACAATTTTTGAAATTGTCATCTTGTTGTAGACATTCATGGGTATATAAGTAAATTTTTACTTGTATTATTGACATTTGGATACCCTCAATCACTCACTCACACACTGACTCTCAAACACACACATATATATACATGCAAATATTTAGTGTTTATTTGTGTGTGTGTGTACACAAATGATGATAATGTATATAACATTGAAATTTGTTAATATAAACTAAGTTAGTTCAATTATTAACGAGAAAATCTTTTTTTTTTTGTTTAAAAATGAACATAAATAATTTATGTTCATTTTCTCATCATCCTTTTATGAACGTCATCTAATTTCACTGAAATACATGTAGACAATTACAAAATATACAGTACAATACAATGCAATACAATACAGTACAGTACAGTATAGTGCAGTACATTTTATAATAAATTAAAATTTCTGATTACATAATTAATAATTATGAAGTATATTATTGCAAATTACATTTTCAATGTACATACACCTTTCGAGGACAAAGAAAAGATTATGAATTATCTGAGTATACTAAACTTGTTTATATATATATATATATATCTATATATGAATATATCTACATAGAGAGAATAAGAGAGAGAGAGAAAGAGGGGGGAGAGTAAATAAAAGTCAAATGAAATCATATTTAAATATCCTGTATTGTTGATAACTATAATTATTAACTGTTTATTGAAAATTGACAGTTTTAATGGATATAAAACTAAGTAACAGTATTGTACATGAACTAACTGAGTATTTTTTGTTTAATACATAATCGACTGAAAAAAATTTATATTTAACTGAGTAATTCTGGTAAATTTTTATAATTTATCCATGAATTGTATAAATATATGAATAGGTTCATGTTTATTAGTTACTGTGCGTGTGTGCGTGTGCGTGTATATTCCTCTTTGTGTGTGTGTGAGAGAGAGAGGATGAAATACATGAACTAGTGTATTGTGTATACATAGATAATTTAGTTCCTTTTAATAGTAAAATTGTCAATTACATATATAAATATCAATCAAATAGTTTTTCATTAGGTCATTTAAGATGAAGCAATTTTGAATGACAGTAACAGAATAAATAAATAAATAAAACAGATTTTATATTTAAAATAATAAAAACTGGTTTACATTTAACAATTTAATATTCCATAGAATTGGTTTATATAAGGAAATGATAAAATGCTCAATTTCCCAATACTCTTGTGCTTCTTAATATATCTCTTTAGCATAAACAAATAGTTTTGAATAAATATGACCGAATCAAGCTGGTGGTATTTTATGTTTACTTATTTGAACGCATAAATATTGGTACGAAGGGGCACCGAATACAAATACACCACACAAGTGACTATTTTTGTGTGGGCTGTCATATTGCCCGGGTTCCTAGACTGAAGTAACTGGTTCTTTCAGGGGCCTACACTCGGAGACTTCGACCTAAAGGTCTGATCCACAAGACAGTGGAGATGTAGTCACATGGTGGCCGGTGGTCAACAATTCATTCATACACAATTTTTCCCCTCAGGATCCTGAACCTCATGTTCACCATTGGTTGGAACCTGGGTCTTCCAACTCCCCTAGTTGGATCCTCCATATGCACCAAGCCGGTTAAATTGTCGGACATTCAATTTTCATCCTTGATCTCGTTAACAATACCTCTGCCACAAGAACGCAGTGAATAGGACTTCCCTGTTTGTGGTTGTATACAGGTAGCCACGTTTTGTTGTCATGGAATTTGATTTTGTTAGTGTTTATATTTGTGTTTGAGCACAATAACACTTAAAAATCCTGGTTAATATTTGGTCTCTGTGACAAGAGACATGTGCTGAATCTTAAATTTCAAAATTATTTTGTCTCGTCTTTTCGAATTGTATTCTATATTTTATAGTTTGCATCATGAATCGAACTCCAGTTGAACACCCATTGAAAACCCAGGAGGAACTGAATATCTTTCCCACCCTAATGTAGAACTCCTCAGTAGTATTCACTCATGACCCCATTAGCGGTCGAACTCAAGAACTCCAGGTTTCTTAGCGGACTCTTAGTCTTTAGATCTTTAATTTTAATTGTTTGATTTATTGTATCAATGTTATTGTTGTTACAATTGTTATTTGAGTGCCTTGGATTTTCACCTTTTGAAAAGCGTGATAAACTTTAATTGTTGCAAAACTATTCGACATTCTGCAGTGTTTATTACTAACTGGTTTGATAGACATTTTAACTTAATCAGTCTACTACAATGGTGTTATCATTCTATATTTGCTTATATCTCTTTGAGAAAGTAAAAAAGAAGAGAGCAGTTGAAAAAGTACTTTAATAGGCTAAGTCCACTAATTCACTTATAACAAAGCGGCACTATAATATTTCTCTTGTCATATTTTTCTAAGGACAGGTTTTTCAAAATATTTATTACAAAAAGTATTACGGTTACTTTGTTTTTCTTTTCTTTCAGTTTGGAAAATAATACTATGCAAGTAAGTTACATGATAAACATTTAATTTGTGTCGATATATTAGTATGCGAAAGCTTTGTGGAGAACATTACTTGACTTTGGTTGTGATCAATCATGATCCAAGAGAGAATCAAACACCAGGACCCAAAGTCGCATTAGTTACTAACCTCAAGATTTTCAACCGATCAAGTCAGAAGTTGTGACTAATGGAAGTGAAATATGTAAGATATGAAACAATTATCCGCCACAGGGAATAAGAGATAGTAGTGAAAGAGCGAATTTATTCATGTATTAGGCATTATTCTACTCTCTACATATTGTGTTTTAGTTAGTTGAACAGTATCTTACATCTAAGGGTTCTGTAAACTAAGTAACTTTCTTTGGAAATTATTCATTTTTGTTATTCAAAACAAAATTTATTTACAAAGTATGTATTCATAATGTTCTGTAAGATAATGAAAACCTTATGAATGAGGTTATTCAGCTTAGAATATTAAACAACGCCACTAGAAACATTCATTGGAAATATAAATTCTGTGCTTTATTTTTTTGTATATCATTGTATTCTGTGAAATATCCATGATATATCTGATAAGTTTACAACGGAAATGAAGTTTTCTTTTAATATACTACTGTATTCTCATAAGCAGAATGGTGGCTATCAATGAAATCCAGAATGAGCACCTTATTCCATTTGGGACTCGTCAGCTGGATGTATCATAAGAGACTGATCGATCGCAATCCTAAACATTAATGGAAAGATTCAAACAACCAATAAAAAGAAATTCATTACATTCTCAGTTAAATTATTATTTTTGTATTCGTTCATTTTAACATTATATTCGTTAAGGAACGGCCTCACATGTGAGTACACATCATTGACGAGTCATATACTAGAATGAAATAAATATTCAATGGCTTATGTTTTTCAGTCATATATAAATTGGGACTAGTCTTCAAGTCTGTGATAATTAGATGTGTTTGAATTATTGTACAAAATAGGACTTCCCAAAATAATGTAAATCAAACCATAAAGAGCTAGGCGAGCACGAACGAGCGTATTGTAATTAGAATTGACGATCAGGCAGTCCTCAAATACAAAAGAATCATTATTTCATACAACCACCACATAATCTTAACTATGTAGCCTGCATTTTTTTATTTATCAATTTCGCTCAGATCAACAGTTATTAACTTCATAGATCAATGCCACTTTTTAAATACAAACTAAGATCATAAATCAATTATTTCCCAATTTTCTTCTCTCTTCATAATCAACAGACTTTCGAAAATATTGCTTCACCTTATTTTCTTAATTCAAAGCCAATAGATCGATTGATGGTCAACACTTCCGGTATATATGTGAATAAGAGTCATTATAATGAAAGTAAGTCCTCTTTTGAATGATTCTTAATTGAAATGATTTCGAAGTATATTCATATTTTAACCCAAATCAGTTGAGTTGTGTACAGTTTAATTGACGTATTTTTAATGTTCGATAAATGTACTGTATCTAACATTTTCAGTCATTGTCCATCTCGAAATGGTCTCACATAACTACATGCGTAAAATCACTAACAAGGAAGTCCTACCCAATGCCCTCGCGCACCACGGGTGTTGTTTACGAAATTTAGAGGACGAAAACCAGTCCTGACTTTGCTCCACTGCCATGTGGATAGACCTTTAGGTTGAAGGCTGCCTGGTGTAGCCTAAGAAAGCCAACTGCTTCGGTCTCGACACCCGGGCAGTATCACTGGGCCCACACAAATGAAGTGACTTGTGTGGTATTCGATGTTACTTTGTACCAAAATTTATGTGTTCAAATAAATAATATAGACATTTTTCTATTCATTCAATGGTGAACTGTTGTATATTCGAGTGTAATTTCAAGAGAATAGAGTTATTTGTAATTGTCCGTTATGAATAGGTTGTTACTTAAAATGAAATATTCTATGAAAACTACACTCGAATACACAGTATTCATTTGCTTAAAGAAAGCACAAGAAAACCACTGAAATTGTTAAGTACAACAACGTAATTTGCAAATGTTTTAGATAACCTTGACCAGTTTACAAATCAATAAGATGAAACATACATTTGCTGGATTCAAATGCTGTCACTGTTATTTTTATTCGAATGATTTGTCATGTCATTACAATCACAATTGAAAATGACCTATGGGGATTGTTGACATACTTATGTGGATCGTAACGAGTGTGACCCACAAGTTTATGTTTGGGTCAAACATAACACGTTAATATCTAACCTGGCTTATCCTATCTTGATCATTAGATTATTCAATTTCGTTTATTCCCTCGTTACTATATGGTTTACTAAGTGTTCATCGATTTGTTAAGTACAACTTTCTTAAATGCAGCTAAGTTATTTAGACGTCGCTTTTCAAATTAAAAAAGCAACATTGTTACTAAATCTCTATCGCTTAGATGTGTAACTTGTGTATTAGAACGATTCACCTCACTGAACTGAGCATTACCATCTTTATTACATCGATAAAACGGAAAACCACACAAAATAATGAGATAACAATGAGGAAAAGCAGACAATGATAGAGTATAATCAGACAGAAAAAAATTACGTAGTAGGAGATACTGTTCAGTTAGCAATACAACCAACAGATTTCTTTTTGTTAAAAGAGCTCTACTAATTTTAGTGGTCATTGTTATTTATTTATTTATTTATTTGAACACATAAATATTGGTACGAACGGGCATTAAAAACATTTGCCACACAAGTCATTTGATTTGCGTGTGGGCTATGATACTACCCGGGTGTCCAGATTGAAGCAGGTGGTTCTTTTAGGTGGTCATACCCGGGGCTTTCGACCTCAAGGTTTGATTCGAAAGGCAGTCGAACAACGTTAGAAGAGGCAGTCACATGGTACCAGTTGACCAATAATTGGTTCATACGCCATTTGTTTTCTCAAGATCCTGGAGCCCATGTGTACCATTGATTTGGAATCAGGGGTCCTTAACTCCACTAGGTGGACTCTCCGTGTCCACCAAGCCAGTTAAAGTGTCGGACGTCCAGTTCTCGTTCTCTCAACTATGTAAACAACATCGCTGGTGCGCGAGGTCATTGGGCAGGACTTCTCTAACAGTTTTTGTATGCATGTGGCAATGTGAGAGCATTTGGTGAGGGAGAGTTGACTCTCCACACCCTCGGCGGTACTAGGGATTTCGTCGCGTGCTACGGAGTTTCATTATCTTTAAAATCCTAATTAATGAATGGTTATTGACTGGTAAATATTAGTCTTTTAATATATTCTTTCAGATCAGAATAGAATGTCACATTATTTCAACTTAACAAATATTGTCTATAAATCTTGTCAAATAATTGAATTTTTCCATACAACTGATTTTATAATGAAATAATCATGTTATTTACAATAACAGCAAAAATAAACCCCCCAAAAACAATCTAATCTGTGATTTGATTTCTCCCACTGAAAAGATGATTCTCATGTCTTAATGTTTATTCACTTCGTTTCTTTCTTTCTTTCTTTCTTTCTTTCTTTTTATCTTTCTTTCTTTCATGTTATTGAAACACAAAAACACATTTGATTTAGGCGCCTTTATTAATAATAGTACATAAAATACAATTGTCTGACCATTATTCATTAATCCTTTATGCTTTACAGTTATAATACATTTGTATTCATACCTATATATATATATCGTGAATTATAATGGTTATCACAATGTATGGCTGAAAATGAATTCAATCTAATATCGTTTTCCTGCTTTTTCGGTCAGAACAGAGTAGAACAATGCAAACATACACACACACATATATCTATATATACAGATATATAATGAATGAACCAGACAAATCTTTCACAAAATATATATTTATCCAGTATTGCAGAAACGGAAGCAAACTTTTACAGTTCAGATCACTTATGTATTTTTTTTTCATGAACCCTTTTAAGTATATAAGCAAAAAAGATATTAGTACACATAAAGAATCTATTAGAGACAATGAAAACAATGAATCATTCTTTCTTTGCTATATGGTATACAGTGTTCATTTTAAACCTTTCCCTTATTATCTTTACAGAACAGGAAAATATCTATAGTCACGTGTCTAAGAGAATAATATTTATCCCTATTTTTTGTTTTGTTTTACCATTGTGTATATCTTATCCATGTCCTATGTATGATCTGACAATACTGAGTTCAATTTATCAACCTTTTATTGTGATTTAGTTTATTCTACTGCTTATTGTGTCTCCACCCTACACCTTTGTTTTTGTTGTCTTCTTTCATTTCATCAATTTCATTTCCATTTGACTGGAATCTTTAAAGAATTATACACATTAGAGGAACTTTCTATTTTGATAAGATTAGATTTAAAGTTCAATAATAATAATAATAATAATAATAATATGATCGGTCTTATTTTTCTGCATAAACATACATGATTTGATAAACATTTGATAAGAAAGAAAGGAAAAATAACTAGTCTACCATTAAAAATTTCTTTAAATTATGCCAAATATGTCAAATTATATTGAAAATTCGATGGTATTCAAACCATAGATCGTATTTAAACCAAATAATAAATCCTTACTAAATCGATTTAAATGACAATAAGATAGTTCTATAGAACAAAGAATCTTGTACATTAGTTCCTCGAGATGGTGGAGAAGATTTGTAGCTCAGGTGGATGATTTTGGTGGAGTTTTGTTCTCTGAGCTGGATGGTTTGGTCCAACTCAGAGAACAAAACTCCACCAAAAACATTAGGTCCTTTTTGGCATCATACAAATTATAATAAATTATGCTACTATTATGATAAATCTGCTGGTTCTCTTATTCAGATATATTAAAAGATTGAAGCTGTTTCATTAAATCCAAGATAGTATCTAAGTTTTCCTAAATCACTTTCATACAACTGAAATCAATATTCTTTTCGATAGACAAATAGAAAATATCAGAAGGGGTTTTGTGGATATTATAGTAATTTTAATAGATGTGATAATGAGTTAATTGAAGCTAGATCATCATGGAAAACATGAAAGAATTGGATGGCCATTTCATCTTAGTATGAGACTCCTCAACAGTGTGTATACGGTATCCCACACTAAAGGAATTTGAACCTATAATCTTTTGTCTGGTGCGCGAACACACCTCTAGACCACTGAGGTGGCCGGAATCCAATGATGTTAATGTCTAACTTCAACTAATCCACAATCATGATCCCATCTAGTAAAATTACAAAACAGAAAAGGAAGATGAAAGAACTCAAATTCATTTCACTATTTACTATTCGAATTATTTTTTTAAAAAAACATTAATTTTCCCCTTGACTTAAAAGTACTCGCACATATGCATACAAAGAAAAAAAGAGAACTGATAGACTTTGTAAATAGAACAAAAATCAAAAGAGAAAGAAAGGAAGAAAAAAATACGAAAAAGAAATTATCAGAAGGGGTTTTGTGGAGATTTTAGTAATTTCAATGGTTGAAATGATAAGTCAATTGAAGCTAGACCACCAGTGAGCATCCACGATCCCATTCCTTGAGGAATTCCAACCCAGGACCTATTAGTCCCGCTCATGAGCGCATAACCTGTAGACCACTGAACTGGCAGGCATCCAACGATGTTAGTGTCTAACTTCAACCAATCCATGAAATTGAGCCACCATCGCCCGTTGTCTTAAGTGAGCTGATATCTTACAACAGACCTGGTTGAACTCCACTGGTAACGGTTTCTAGATATCAGCTCATTGAAGACAATAGTGTACGGTGGCGCCATTTCATGGGTTGGTTGAAGTTAGATATTAACACAGTTGAATACCGGCTCAGTCGTCCAATGGTTAAGCGCTCGCGCACGAGACTGATAGGTTCTGGGTTCAAAAAAAGAAATTGATATAAAATAAAAAGGAAAACACGTACACATTATTCATGTTTCACACTTGTATATAAATGACCTTCATTTGTATGGCATGTTAAAATTTATGATAATAATTCTATTCTTATTCTAATGAAAGGGAGAAAATAACTTTTTTGTTTGTTTGTTTTGTTTTATTGTTGTTGTAATATCAATTCAATCAGTCTAAATTATTTTGACCTTATATTATTCATAACAAAGAAAGATTTATAGAAAGAATAATATAAGAAAAGAAAGAAAATTGTGATCGTTTAATTAAATAGGTTTAATCAAGTTATATCTTGTTTTCTGATTTTCTATAGAATACTTCAGATCAAATTAAACTGAATTGTTGTTTTTTTGCGGGGGGGGGGGCGGAGTAGGGGTGGGGGATGACATTTTTGTTATAGGTTTACATGGTTTATTTTATTTTATATACGTTAGAAAGTGAATACATGTTGTTGAATGTCGGCTCAGTGATCTAGAGGTTAAGTATTCGCGTGTGCGAGACTGATAGATCGTGGATTGAAATCTCGTAAGACGAAATCGTGGATACGGACTAGTGAGTAGTCCTGTACTAGGACAAAACAATCGTCTAGTGTTTCCAGGTTTTCTATGATGGTCTAGTTTTAATTGACTCATTAATTCAACTATTAAATTACATTTTGTTTCATTTATAAAATTGTTTCTACTTTCTCTTTGACTTAATTTCTAACTAAAAGAGAGATTGCCTATGAATTGCCTATGAAACTTTTCTATTATAAATGTAGTCAATTCAAGCTAATTACATTTGATCGTAATAATAATAAGGCAGATGTTGATTATTCACATAGAAATGAAGCAGAAATTAAGTACGAGTACAATTGACTAGGTTAATTTGTATGTAAATAACCTGGTATAAGTCAGTAATTTTAATTGATTAATAAATATTTAATTATTTCATATTGATGTAACTTATTTACTCGTAGTATGTACACGCATTTGAACTGACGTCTGAAAGGATTTACAGATCACTTAATTAGTAAACATTTCTAAATTTAGTCTAATGTTGATAATTTCACAGGTTGAAATCATGAGTCAATTGAAGCTAGACCATCATGAAAAACCTGGAAGCACTGGACGGCCGTTTCGTTCTAGTATGGGACTCCTCAGCAGTGCGCATCCACGATCCATTCTGATAATGTTGATAATGACATGACCATTTATTGATTTTTGTCTATACACGTATCTTAGCAAAGTTTATCCACCTAGTTTAGATCAAATGATTATATTTCACAAATTAATAAATCGTATTAGCAAAGTATATTTATTTACCAGGAAGACTTACTTCTCCACCATCTCAAAGACTTACTTACTTACGCCGCTTCCTCCTCGTGGAGGAGCATAGGCCGCCCACCAGCACTCTACATCCAACCTCGTCCTGGGTAATCCTTTCCAGTTCTTCCCAGTTTTTATTCATCCTTTTCATATCTGCTACTACTTCCGATGTAATGTGTTCTTTCGCCTTCCTCTTTTCCGCTTACCTTCGGGATTCCGAGTTAGAGCTTGTCCGTAGCTGTTTTGGAGTTACTGCCGGTCCCAAGCCCGGGTAAATGAGGAGGGTTGGCATGATGTCAGCAACCCCATTCCGTAGAACAAATCTTGCTAAAAAAAAACGCCAACCAGGTTAAACAAATTAAACCATTTAAACTCTGCCCTGGGAGTTGAAGGAAGAATTATCATGCCTCAGGATGAAAGCCGAAATTCTTCGGAAATCACGAGGCCGATGCCCCTTCTAACAATCAGAAAGACTAGAATAACTTAAGTACTTTTATTATCATTAACATCTTGTCTTTAATTCATATTAATTTAAGTTTTAATATACAATTATATGCCTTCAAAATTATTTGTCAAAGTTGAAACAATCCAAATGTTTTGTACTTTAAATTTGTCTCTTATCTGTTTTCGTTAATGTTATTGTTTTTATTTTGCATGTTACTCTGCAATTTACGTCTACATGCAAACTATGCATTAATTGAAGAAATCTTGTATTTTGTTGTTGTTGAGACTAGTTCCATCAATATTATACGTGCACACACACACACACTTATGTACACAGACACACACGGACAGACACAAAAGACTCGCACATTTATATAATTATATATAAGAACAAATATCAACATTGTTCTTTGGATTCAAGTACACTAGTACATAAATTCATTTCATAAATGTCTATTTCTTTCTTTCCATTAGTTTAAGAAATTTCATAATCACCAATCTCTATTATCAAATCAATTCAGACATACAATTTGTATGAAGTGTGTGTATGTGTGTGTGCACACGATGGATATTCGTTTAGATTTGTTTATCAGTCAGTCATTGATTATTTCTGCTGCTCGTGTAGAGTATTTAACTCCGTCTAATTCATCGAACTGGACTATTTACTCTTTTTTTTTTAAATCAGTGTCTTGTTTTGTTTATTCATTATCAATTTCTTTTTCGAGTTTAGTGTAGATCCAATTACAAACATACGCATATTTGTGCGTATCTAAGTTCGTGTCTATTCGAATGCTTTTTTGCTTGTGTTAACATGACTGAGTGAGCGAACGAACGAATCATTCAATCAGTATATGGTATGTATATCAGAAAATGTCATGTATAAGCAAAATGGCACATGAATAACAAGCAAATAAATGTGTGCTTACGTGTCAATGTATGTTTTCGCTTGTATGTATTGATATTGAACAAACAAGATATAAGTATAAAGGAAGGAGCATTCTCAGTTTGCTTCAAGGCTAATAGTAAAACACTGATGAATATATACATATGTACGTGTAAATGGATAGATATCTATGGATTCATGTTCTTATCTACCTAACTGATTAATATTATCGTTAACCCTAACAGTAAAATCATTTGATGATATAATATTAATAATATTAATACTATTTCATATGGATTATGATTTAATTGCAGATACATCAGGTGTTTTGATGAATGTGGAAAATTCCCAACATACAGACAGTGCAATACATACTTTAGTTAGTAATAGTAATAATACTACTACTACTATTACTGGTGTAAATACTACAAATGCTGGAAATGACGATGCAGATGTAACAATGTGTATATGTCCAGTTTGTGGTTTCTCTGCATCATCTCCACGTAGACAAGATGAACATATGGAACTAGTACATGGTGATGTAACAGTATCTAATATTTTAACAACCAGTAATTTAACATCAATCACACCACCAACATCAACTATGATAACAATGAATCAAGAGAATTCTGACAGTCCTAAATCATCTATAAAATCTATGAAATTAGATTGGCCCTTAGAAATGAATAATTCAACATCTTTTGATTTTTTTCAATCACATCAACCAACAATGAATTTACAACAACAAAATTATCACTCATATAATTCGTTTGCATTACAAGCATCATCTACACCACAACGTGTAAAATTTTGGTCAACCGAGCCGGAACAAATCAATTCATCATTAACAACAACAACAACAACAGTGAACAAATGCTTAAAAATCAAAAGGTAGATACTGTATATAGTAAAAATCATAGTAACTGTTGCCTTACTACTACTACTACTACCACTACTACTAATACTAATACGAATAGTGTGGGAGGGACTATTGATAAATTTAAAATAATTTCCACGAATACTGGTATTAATCCTGGTACTACAAGTACAACTTATACTATTGCGACGATAACAACGACTTGCTCAAACAACTCATCATCATCAACATCACCATCTACAACAGAGATTCATTCAAAATTCAAACTTCAAAAATGACAAACAATAATAATAATGAGATAAAAAAATCTGAGAAATCTCGATCATATTCATCATCAACGAAAAATGGTAAATCTAAGGAGAAACAAAAATGTTTCTCATTGTCATCATCATCGACATTATCCCTATCAACATCCTCATCACCATCTTCATTGTTATCAGTAACAACATCTCCATCGTCTATTACAACAATTACAACCACAACAGGAACAGCGATTAAAGTAATCGCAGTTGGAGACGATGATGATGATGATCGTCATCATGCAGTTGTGAAGAAAGTCGATTCAAGAAGACGTTATCGGTATGTTATAAGAAGTTGTTTAACCTATATATTTTCGATTAATTCTACTGGATATATGTGCGTTTTGTTGCTTGTATGAGTTATTTCACTTGGTTTAGTCTAAATTTTCTCTTGAACAACAACAGATGCTATCATATTCGTTGTTATTACTAATCTATGACACTGAATGATGTCTAGGACTGAATGATAACACAATGTCCTATTATTTAAACTTGTTAATTGATCACTTAGGTCTCGCGCGCGAACGCTTAACCTCTACACCACTGAGGTGGCCTGCATCCAACGGTGTTAATGTCTAACCTTGACCAATCGATGAAATTGAGCCACCATCGACCATTGTCTTCAGTGAATTACTATCTCACATCAGACCCAGTTGAACTCCATTGTTCACAGCTTCTCACGAGAACTCCAGGAAATACCTATTGAATCCGGTCACTTGTGAGCACATGATGATTATTATCAGAAGAGGGTTTTGTGGAGATTTGAGTAATTTAATAATTGAATTCATGAGTCAACTGGAGCTAGATCACTATGGAAAATCTGGAAAAGCGGTTCATAGTTAACATCACGAAATAAGCTTAGTTAGATAACTATTTAGAAGCTGTATTAAAATTCTTTACAGTGCGCATCGACAAATCGCATTGCAGTTTCTTACCCTTGAAATTCAGGTTTCGTTCCTGAATTGTCTCATACTGACTTTAACTGATTGTAAAACTTAGGTCAATCCACAATACAAACATGATTTAATAGTTATAAATGTTATCTATTTTGTTCAATTCAGTGTTGTACTATTATAAAGTATGCAAAATAAGTGATTACATAAGCTTGTTTACATTAATTACTCTGTAATTATCATTAAATATTACTGATAATTCACTGTAATTTTAATGAATCATCTACCTTAAAAAAAAGTAATTTAGAATTTTCTTAACCTGAATATTGTTATCAGTCAAATGTTAAACAAATTTATTTTTTATTAAAGTAAAGTGTCAAATGTGAAAAGTAGTCAGTTGTTTGCTTTTTAATAGTTAAATTCATGGGTCGATTGAAGCTAGACCACTATGGAAAACCTGAAAGCACTGAATGGCTGTTTCATCCTAGTATGAGATTCCTCAGAAGTGCGTATTCGGGACTCTGCATTAAAGGAACTCAGACTCAGAACCTTCGGTCTGGCTCGCGAACGCTTAACCTCTACACCACTGAGGTGGCCTGAATCCAACGGTGTTAATGTCCAACTTCAACCAATCCATGAAATTGTGCCGCCATCGACCATTGTCTTCAGTGAGTTACTATCTCACATCAGAATCAGTTGAACTCCACTGTCCACAGCTTCTCACTAGAACTCTAGGAAATATCTTATGAAGCCGGTTTGATTTTTATAATTAAGCGGTTTGCTTAAATTGCATTTTGGAGGATATATAAACTTATAAAATTTGAAATGATTTAGTCTAATTAAGGCAATATACTTATCATTGGTGCAAAAAATTAGTAGATAAACTAGGTTTTGCAAATTTTTCAAATCACTTGTATTGTGAACGTATAACATATGGAGATCTATTTGGTAATTATTAGTCTTTTAGTTGGTCATTCATAAGCAAGGTAATGTATAAAACATGTACATTAGAGTTACTACACTGAAGCAATATGATGAGATGAAATTATCAATGTAGATCCCAGATTAATATATTTAAGTAACTGTATTGATGATAGTGGAGGAGTTCAAGCACAAATAATATGATTAGTGAAGAATGAAAAAAATTCCTGGAATAAAGACTCAAGATCTATAAACAGACAAAAAATGAAGCCATCAGCACCATCCTGAATTATTATGAGTTATGACATTCAACATCTCCAACCTCTGATCATGATGATTATGATGACTGTAATGTGAGAGTCGATAACCACCAATACAACTCAACTCAATAGATAATGTCTTCATGGATGTTTTGAGTTGACCTCTCTTAGCTTTCTTGCAACAGATTCATACAAAAGCAAATATCATGGATTTAGGTACTTAGTGGTTGCTCATATATAATATATGTCCTGACCACTTCAGTCACTGGAAATACACTACTTCATCAACCGATATCCTATTCCTGTCAAGCATCCTGTGCTTAGTTCAAACATTCTTGATTCTATATCTTTTAAGTAATGATTTCTTTATTATTTATTTATATGAACACATAACTATTGGTACAAAGGGGCACCGAATAGATATGCGTCACACAAGTCACATCATTTGTGTATGGGCTGTAATACTACCCGGGTGCCCAAACCGAACCGGGTGGTTTTCTTAGGGGGCCACTCCCCGAGTCCAATCCACAAGGAAGTGGAACAACGTCAGGAGATACAGTCCCATGGTAGCCGATGATCAACGACTGGTTCATATGCCATTTGTTCCTTCAGGATACTAGAGCCAGCCCATGTGCACCATTGGTTTAGAATGAGGGTTTTCCAACTCCTCTAGGTGGATCCTCCATATCCACCAACCCAATTAAAACACCAGACATTCGGTTTCTAAACGCAATGAATAAGACCTCCCTGTCAGTGGTTGTGTACTCATGGTTATGAGAGAGCTCACTCTCTCCACCCTCGGCCATACCAGGGTATCTGGAAATTTGATTTCATTGTTAAAACATTCGATTTCAAACATAAGAATATGAATTCAATGTCTGTTACACTTATTTTAGCTTAAGTATCCAATAAGATAATGTACAACATACTTTTTTCATTCAAACTTCAATATACTAATCATTCATGAATGTTATAATTATTGATCTGTTATGATGAAAGAACTACTTTTGAAAATGTTTGTTTACTCTATTTACCTTTGTAAACAAATTGAGTTCATATTTTAAAATAATCTCAGAGAGAAAAAATACATATTCATAAATAATGTTTATTCAGAATAAAGTTCATATATAAATTTGACCTTTGTTGGTAATATATTACAAAAATCATTTCTATTGTTAAGCTACACCACTATGGAAAATCTGGAAACATTGGAAACACTGCTGAAGAGTCCCACAATAGGACGAAACGACTGTCCAGTACTTCCAGGTTTTCCATGAGTTCGTTTCCCGGTTGAAGGAACGTGGATGTGCACTTTTAAAGTGTACAACGCTCGGATGAAACAGCTGTTCAGTGAATACAGGCCTGTACTAGTGGGATATTTAAAGTTAGCTAGTGATTTAAACTATGAAAAATGTAGAGTTGTGCTTAGTTGAATAGTTTCAATGTAAGTAAATAAACTGAACGAACCTCAAGTGATGTTATCCAATCTTTTTTGAATATCAACAGGATTTTGTGGAATATCATAGTGATTATCTATGGAGTAACGAGGTGAGTTGAACTAATCACCTTTAAGCTTAACGGTGTTAAACCAAGGTTCTTCTTAAACTCCATTTATTTACTAGGGATTTTCTTGTGTCTATAATAGCTTAGTTGTTGTGTATTAGTTGTTAAATTAAACTTGTATTCTATTTTTTGCTTGTCTTCTCATCCCACTCTACAATTAGATGTAACATTTGTCCAACAACATTTCCATGGCATGGTGATCTAACAGAACACTTACGCTCTGTGCATGGAATGCAAAAATCACGTGAAAATGCACGTAATGGTAAAGCTGGAAGTTTTTGTTGTAGTCATTGTAAATATGTTGCAAAATATCAAAGTGAACTAAATCGTCATATGCGATTACATTGGGGTGTTAAACCATTCATATGTGTTTTTTGTCCATATCGTAGTGCATGGAAAGGTGATTTAAAACGTCACATGGAATCACATCATAGAGAACGTTTTACATGTGAAACAGAATTAATTAAAATTATGTCACAATTTAAAAATAACGCTGGTACAAGAACATCAGCAGCAGCAGCATCAATAACTAGTGGTTATGGACATACTTCCACATTGCCTATTTCACAATTTGATATAACAACAGAAAGTAGTGAAGGTGATAATACAAGTGATCGATACAATTGTTTACATATTGATGAAGAAGAAGAAAATATTATAATTACTACTACTAGTACTACTACTACTACCACTACCACTACTACTACTACTACTCATGATAATAATAATAGTAGTAATAATAGTCTTAGTATTGATGTTGAAAATTCAGATGACAGTTCCAATGAAAGTGATGATAAAATGAACTCAATTGTTAAATCATATTCACGTAAACATTCATTAAAAACTAATTACTCACTATTATATAATGAATCAAACAGTATGGATACTATCAATAATATCAATGGTAATAATAATAGTAGTATTAATAGTACTGTAAACCTTACTAATACTATGATAAATAATTATCTACCACAAATGACAATAGCTGAAAATAATTTAATCTGTCATATTTGCTCATATCATGCACAAAATCAAAGTAAATTTAAAAATCATATGGCTAGTCATATAAATTTAAAACAATTTAAATGTCCAATCTGTGGACAACGAAGTAATTATAAATGGGATATTACAAAACATTTAAAAAAACAACATCCAAATAGTAATCAATTACCAATTACAATAATCAATAATGATATAGAAACAATTGATGAACAATATATGAATACATCAATTGGATCAATACCAAACTCTTTAACAATGTATTCAACATCATCATCATTATCATTGCCTATGACTTCATTAATCAATTCACAATCTTGTACTTCACAAATACAATCATGTATATTACCAAGTCAATCATCAATTGTTTCATTGATTCCAATAACACAACCATTAACAGTATTCTCTCGACCACAGATTACATCCATAACACAATCATCATTAACATCATCAACAACATCACATTTATCAGGTTTATCTGGAATTTCACCAAAATCCAATGAAATGATTTCATTAGATATTGAATGTAAAAATTATTCAAAAATTTCAGATCTTCAAATGACATCAAATGATCCTTTGAATTTAATTGCATATTCATCTATAAAACAATTATCATTAACAACATCATCATCTTCATCAATAGCAGCATCACCGTCTAAGAATTCTTCATTAATACAAAATGATGAAGATGATGATATATTATCAGTGAATGATTCATTACCAATTGATCTATCAATTGGATATCCTCATAAACATGATGATATTAAGGTAAAGTTAACTTTTCTATAATAGTAATATTTTTGTATTTTTAGAATGAATTGATCTTGTTTGTAGGATTAATAAGAAGTAGACAATATATGACTATTTATTTCAGCATAGTGTGGAACTTCTCAGTAGTGTTTGTCCACAACCAGCGATTATTCAGTAGAACTAATGGTTCGGCCCCCAAGGGCCCTGGTACGGCCGAGAGTGGGGGAGTCCGCTCTCCCTCTCCAAATGCTCTCACATGGCCACGCGTATATAGCATCTGCCAGGTAAGTCCTACTCATTGCCTTCTCGTGGCGGGGGTGTTGTTTACGAAAATGAGAGGACGAAAAGCGGATGTCAGGCGCTTTAACCGGATTCCAAACCAATGGTAAACATGGGCTCCAGTATCCTGCGGGAACAAATGGCGTATGAACCAATTGTTGGTCACTGGCTTCCATGGGACTGCATCTCCTTACGATGCTCCACTGCCTTGTGGATCAGACCTTCAGGTCGAAGGCTCGGGGTATGGCCCCCTACGAGACCAACTGCTTCGGTTTGGGCACCCGTCAGTATCACAGCCCTCACATATATCAAATGAGATTTGTGTGGCGCATATATATTTGGTGCCTCCTTCTACCAATATCTATGTGTTAAAATAAATAAATAAACTAATGCTTCAGTATCAAATGTTTCAATCTTATTTTCAACCAGTTGTTGAAAATTGAACAATCTGATGGTTCTGATTATTGGATATTTGCTAAGATACCTGAAGTTCTTAGGGAAAGGTATGCACCTATAAGGCCTCTCATAATAAGACAAAACAGATATCCTACACTCCTTGGTTTTTACTGCTTTTTCAACTGAAATGAATCTGTGACAAGTACAATTTAGTTCGTTTTAGGTATCTAAGATGTATCATAAGCTTTAACACAAGAGGTGTTGCTCTCAGCCAAGTAATTAAATGGTATGCTTGGTGTATGCGTTAATTAACATTCAATGTATGTAAATTTCATTCTTTGACTTTATATTCTAATGTGGGTCAATGCAAATCATTAAGGTGCTTTTAAAGTAACCAGAAAAAAGGCATCTCAGGTTTCACACGATGAAAATATCAATATAAATTCTAGGTGAATATTGAGACAATAATAATGTACGCGATTAGTAATTATTTTACTGAGAAATAGTCTAACATGTGAACATTAAATGTGATTAACGCAACATCGTGGAAATATCATGAATTGGTTGAAGTTAGATTTGGAAACTACCGGATCCCAGCTCTACAGTCTTGCGATAAGGCATTCGCTCGTACGGTCGAGGGTCGTGGATACACACTGTAAAATAGTCCCATACTAATTTGAAAGGCTGACCTAATGTTTCCAGGTTTTTAATGATTACTCAAATTAGATAGATTTGCGATCTCAATAAAATTTAACTATCTTTACAACCATATATTGAAAAGTAAGAAAAATTGGATATTCCACAAACTTATTTAATGAATACAAACACCAGTTGTCAATATAAATCTAACCCTACGCGATTTACGCTATAACGGAATGAAAAAAAGAATAACTATGTATGTTTAAGGGATAAAAAAACACTTCGGAGTAATAGTTCCTTCAACTGGACGATTTCAAATTTGAAAACCTCACATAAATGACATCAATTTAAGTAGTCTGGCGTTGATAATAATAAAGAAATGTCCGGGTACGGTCGAGAGTAGGGAGAGTCAGCTTCCCCTCTCCAAATGCTCTCACATAGCCACGCGTATACAGCCACTGACAGGGAAGTCCTACTCAATGCCTTCTAAAACCTGGGGTGTTGTTTACGAAATTCAGGGGAGGAAAGCCGAATGTCCGACACTCTAACCGAGTTAATGGATACGGAGGCTCCACCTAGGGGAGTTGGAAAGCTTTGGTTCCAACCGATAATACACATGGGCTCCAGGATCCTGATGTAACAAATGGTCACTGGTTACCATGTGACTGTATTGTTTCCTGATGTTGCTCCACTGCCTTATGGATCAGACCTTTAGGTCGAAGGCTCCGGGTGTAGTCTCCTAAGAAAACCACCTAGTTCGGTTTGGCCACCCGGGCAATATGACAGCTAACACACAAATCAAGTGACTTGTATTCAATGTCCCATTGTACTTGAGTAAAAAATGAAATTACATTCCGTTTCAATTTCAACCTTAAATCAACACATGGATACTGTATGAAATTAATCGGAAATGACATTTAAATTTAAATTTCTCTGTTCCTGAACATGTTACCCAATAGTCACAATAAAACTTCCATGAATAGCTAGTAGTAATGTTGTTTGATGATCCAAAAAAAAAAATAATAATTTGTTTATTCATTGTAAATGTTTATTTCAACTTTCAGGAGCTAATTATAATTATCAGAACAAGTCAGTCATAGTTTATTATTTATTGTTTATTTTATGATGTGTATTTCATCGTTAACTATTGAAATACTAATTCTAATACTAATGATAACCATAATAACGTTATATATTTACATGCAAAAAAAGCGTCAATAACATTAACACTACTGTGTGTGTGTCATGAGTACAAGCGTGATACTTATTTGAATGTTGTCTATTTTCATTTCTTGTTGTCATATATTTTACAGTTTTATTGTAATGACAAAAACACTATACCTTTATTTTATTTATCCTCGCACGAATGTATATTCTGTTGTTTTGTTAATAACTTTATAGTTATTTTGTATAGTACACGTTTTCATGTGAATATTAACATGGTAATTGTAACACACACACACACACATGAAGACACTAAATCTCCAGAACTTTCAAGTGATTTTACGTTTGTTTACAAAGTCGATGGATACTTCTTTTTTGAATTCTGATCTGAACTATGTTTATTTTTCTATGAATGTGTTTATAGTAGATTCATGATCCAATGTTAAAAAGCAATTCAGATCATTCATAAGAAGAAGGCAAAATTTGAAATAATTTAGAAGTTACTGAGAAACTTCTAATCAACATCCTAAACTCTTTCTAACTCCTCATTTAATATTCTCTATAATATTTCAACAATGCCTCGTACCGTTTTCTTAATATTCCTACATTAACTACTAACAAATAACAAGTAGTTTATTTTTTTCATTAGATATTTTATAGACACGTTTGGGTTTTTCACGAGTACAGGTTTATATGTGATACACGTAATGATATTTTATCATTTATCTAATCTTTAGATAGCTTAGATGGTTATGTATGCAATACACACTCATATCTTACAGTTGAAAAAGTTATTTGACATGCATGTAATGCCTTATTGAATAAGTAGTAGTATGAAAAACTCACTGACTTAAGCATGAGTATAAACATTTTTTCTTACATAAATGCATGGTATTACATTATATTGATTTTGTTAGTGAACTAATCATGTTTTCCTTTTTATTTCCTTCCTCTTTTCTTTCGTTTATATCACCCAATTTCTATACAATCGATGAATATAATAGAACCCTATACTACTTACAAACACATGTCCATCATCATCATCGGAATTAATGTCAAAAATTTCATTCGGAAACAATCATCATTATGCTTATCCGAATTTTTCTGCAGAGTTAAATAATAGTATTTATTCAGGAACGAAATGTTTTACCACGACGACAACAACAACCATAGCATCTCCTAGTATAATTACTTCTAATTCTACTATTACGACTGACAATATATTATCGGATACAAGATTTCATTATCCTATTTTATCTAATTCACAACAGAATATTACGCATAATATTACTAATACTACTACCAGTAATGCTAATAATACTTCAATATCACCGTATATAGTTGGTTCATTAATTTCTGACCCATTAAAAATAATGCATCATCAAATCCAACGATTAATTTGCTATTCAATATTCAACAACAGGTTTTAATGACTGGTCTCTTGCAAACATGGCAACAACAACAACAACACACAGTCAAAGGTACCACGAATTAAAGCAACAACAACAGTCAGAACAATACAAGAATTTAACTATGCATTATGATACACGTGGAGGAGTAACAACGTATTCTGACAATATTATTAGTATGACATCACCTATTACATCCGCAATACCGACAAACCTTTCGCCTAGTAATAATAATAATAATAATAATAATAATAATAATAATAATGTAACACAAATTACTAGGACAGTAACTGCTTTGAATACAACATTTACTGGTACTACTACGACTAATACTGTCACTAGTACTACAATGACTACGTCTAATACACCATATCATACAATATTTAGATCAATTGCAAATCATCAATTATCCGGATTATTACCATCATCGATTACAACAACAATTCAATCACAAATGAATGAAAATTTAAGTACTGATTTTACTAAACATAATAAATTAAAAAATAATCAATTATCAATGAATTGGGAAAATATAAAATCCACATCAGATTGGTCTATACCATCAAATATTGATTCATTAGAATTATCGAATAGTTTACAAAATCAAAATCAATCAAAAAATCAATTACATGTTAATCGATTTTTTACACCAGGTAGAAGAAAAGAATCACATCGTTTATTAACTAGAAATAATAATACAGGACGTAAATCTGCACCAGTTACTAGTTTATTTAATTGTCATTTAGATGTGAATAATCCTATTTGTACTGTTACTAATATAAGTAACAATAGTAATAATAATGGTACTACTATTACTACTACTACTAATAATAATAACAACAAGGAAGAACAATGGAAACGATTTCAATGTTCAGGTTGTGGTCATCGATCCAATTGGAAATGGGACATAAATAAACATATTAAAGTAAGCCTATACATTCATGTGAATAAAGTGATTTATTAAAGTTTCAATGGAGAGAAAAAGAGCGAATTTGTTAGTCATACGATAACTATGTAGAAACACTTAGAATTAGATAGATAAACATATAAGAGTGAGTTCAATCAGTGTATTCAGAAGAAATTACATAATGAGCTTACAATTATATATGTATGATGATGGTTTATAAATATTAGTTCGATTTCTGAATAGTATTAACTAAATTCTCTTCAATACTTCTGATCAGACGATTGAATGAGATCTACTTCAAATACTATGGTTTTTGAGAACATAAGTAATACAGTTAAAAAAATTCATGAGAATTCTGATCCTAATACAATATCCGAGTACAACAAATGTTTCTTGCAATGGTAATGTGAAAATCTCTTTTGCAAGATATATGCTGAGCTATACAACAGCATTTAATTGTGCTAAAAAACACATCGATCAAAAAACGTCGAACCAAGAGGATAAAAGTGAGTGATACAAGGATTGAAAGTAATAGGTAAAATGTTCAAATGATCGAATGTGACAAGTACATGTTAAGGCTTAGAAACACAATTTATATTCAAAAATGACAGAAATCAAAATTAGTTACTTTAAATTAATAAGTAATATAACCAATATAACTAAATCAGATTAGGAGGAACTGAGATGCTGCATAGAATTAGAAGGGATTTGTAATGAATTTTTATAAATTGTAATTAACACACTCGTTTAACCGTCATAGAAAGTGATCCATAAGCAACTTCAACTCATGACGGGCCATACTATAAATGATTTATTATTTATTGTTTATTTATTTGAACACAAATATTGGTACAAAGGAGCACCCAATACAGATGCGGCACATAAATCGTTCGATTTGTGTAAGAGCTGAGGTACTTCCTGAGTGCCCAAACAGAAACACGTGGTTTTCTTAGGGGACCACACCCCGAGCCTTAGGTCTAAAGGTCCATCTACAAGGCAGTGGAACAACATCAGGAGATACAGTCACATGGTAGTCAGTGATCAACAATTGGTTCATACGCAATTTTGCCCTCAGGATCCTGGAGTCCATGAGCACGATTAGCTTGCAATTAGGGTTTTCCAACCTCCTTATATTGACCCTCCATATCCACTAACCCAGTTACAGCGTTGGTTTTCGTCCTCTCACATTCGTAAACAACACCTCTGGTTTGAGAAGGCAGTGAATAGTACTTCCCTGACAGTGGCTGTATACACGTGATCATATGAGATTATTTGGAGAGGGACAGCTGACTCTCTCCACATTTGACCGTAACAGGGCATTTAGAGGCAAGAGTCATTATCATTTACGATGAATGGTCGTTAGAAATGCAAACTGTTGTGCGTCAATTCAGTACTATTCGCAACGTAACTTGGTATCCCAGTTGATGATATTTACTGACATGTACTCGTGGTTAATATTATCCAAGATATATTACTTTATTTTATATTCACTTTTATTCTCTTTTTGACAGGTTGCACATCCAGAACGTACAAACATTATAACAATTACATTAGATTTAGAAGATGCTAAAAGCACGTATAATGAATATATGAATCGAATGAAATTATCACGTAATCGATATTTAACTGAAACACATTCCGATATATCAACAAATTCCAACCCATGGATAACTTGTGTTGGATTGACTGGAACTACAAGTACTAGTACTACTACTGCTACTACCACGATTACAACAACTACTGGTGAAGGTTATTACAGACCATTTAAATGTTCTGTTTGTGGTCATAGGTGAGATAATTTTCTTTTGATTTTTTTTAAAACCAATGATTTAATTGATTTTATTCATTTTTAGTATGCACATTAACTAATCTTTACCAAAGAGTTGGCTGTATAACTTGACAACAACTCAACTGATATTTATATATGAAGACATAATGAATTGAAGTGATTAGTTATTCAGAAATATAATTCAAGGGATTCAATGAAAACTACAAGGATGATATAAGATCGCCTATCAACCGTTTATTGATCACCTATTCAACGTTCAGTGATTACTGATAAATTGAATTTGAGAAAATTGTGTATGTAGTCATGAAACATTCAAGTAGTTTCTGGAATATTTTGAGCAAATCAAAAGTAGTCTGTAAGAAGGGTGGGGAGGGTAAAGGCTGATTTATCACAAAATTTGAAAGTTAAAGATTTTAAAGTTTCAATTTGTTTATGTAACATGTTTTTTCCCCTGTTTATTATTATTTATACAGAAGTAATTGGAAATGGGATGTCGGTAAACATATAAAACAAATTCACAATGGAAACGGAGAAGTACAGACATTGAGTTTAGAAGAAGCTAGACGAACTATACATCAATATAAAAATCGAAGACGTCAACATCATCATCAAAATCGTCTTAGTGATTTAACAATTAAATGTGAACCAAGCTTTTGTAGTTCATCTGAATCAAATGTTAATCTATCACCTATATCCTTATCCGTTGGTGAAGGTATTGTCGATTTGCCTGTTTCATCAACCTCTTCCTCTTCTTCCTCCTCCTCGTCATCCTCATCATCTTCTTCAACATCGAAACAAATTTTGCATAAAAATGATGAAGAAGTAAAAATCGATTATACCATTAATAATAATAATAATCATCGTCATCATCAAGATAATAAATTTCCTTTATCTTTTGAATGTAGTCCACTTAATTTAACTACTAATAATTTAAACCTAATAAAAATGACAAAATCATTAAAATATCATAGGAATAAATCAAAATCATCTATTCTTCATAGAAATAATAGACTATTCATAAAATTTGGATGTAAATTTTGTTCAATTAAATTAAATTCATGGAAATCTATCATATTCATGTTTATATGCAACATTGTCAACAATTAACGGTTCCCTTGACAACTTGTATTAATAATAACAATAATAATAGTAATGAGTACCCCTTAAAATATTTCCCTGTAAGATTACGATTTATCAATGGATCTACAAATCATAATCAAATTGATTTAAAACCTTTAAAATTTTTAAAACATCATTTTAATAACTTAAATCAACAAATGAATTCTATAAATAGAAGTAAATTAAAATATTCAAATGAGGTAAGATGATTTTAGTGTAATATCATATAATTATTATGTAATTATTAGTAATATGATATGTACTACTGATATCAACAGATATAAGTAGTATGTACCATCAATCGAATGTGAAATGTCCGATGGTAAAATGTTAAGAAGATTAAGGGAATAAGAACGACAGTAGAGATTGATTGGTATGGAAATGAAGGAATAGTCAAATGTTAGACAAATTGATTGATATTTTGTGAATCAATTATTTACCGGTACGGCGGAGAGTGGGGAGAGTCCGCTCTCCCCACATGGCCACGCGTATATAGCCTCTGCCAGGGAAATCCTATTCACTGACTTCTCGTGGAGCGAAGGACGAAAAGCGAATGTCCAGTGCTTTAACCGGATTCCAAACCAATGGTGAACATGAGCTCCAGTATCCTGCGTGAACAAATGGCGTATGAACCAATCGTTGGTCACCCGCTTCCATAGGACTGCATCTCCTTACGATGCTCCACTGCCTTGTGGATCACATCTTCGGTTTAGGCACCCGGGTAGTACCACAGCTGTCACATATATCGAATGAGATTTGTGTGGCGCATATGTATTTGGTGCATCCATGTACTAATATCTATGTTAAAATAAATAAATAAAAACTGTATGATTCACTTGGTATTATTTTACTTGGATCTTTCCATTGTTATTTAGGATTACAATTGATCAATCTCTTGGCGTATATGTGCATACTGTGAGTATTGCCTCGATATTGTCTTAATTTACAAGTATTAAAAGCAAAGATGGATAATGGCTAGCGGTGGAATCCAAGTACTGGGTTCGAGTCTTAGGTACATCCAGCTGACGAGTCCCAAACAGGACGGAACACGCGTCCTGGATTCCATTGCTTGCGCAATATCCATCTTTATTTACTGTATGGTTCTCAGATCTTATTAAGACGTTTTGAATTTTGTGTTCAAATATGTTAGGTTGTCCCTACTGGTGTACTCATTCACTACAGTAATACTATTATGACCAATAATAATGTTAAATCTCAAAATAACAGATTTATAGTTTAGTTGGTGTCTTTTAGTGTTATTCAGTTCTTTGAACTGTATAGGGTCTAGTTCCACTGAGCTTTTATTGATGTCTACTAAAATTTGTACAACAGAAATGCCTACTGTTATCACTTGTGGTCGGTTAATATATCATGTGATAAGCTAACCAATTAGAATATGATTTATACTATGTTAATTCTGTACCACAACAATGACTTGTTGACCGGTAATGAGCAGCTTAGCTTAATTAATAAACTTTTAACCTTCCTAGCTCTGGGTGTTGAGTTCAGAACACCAAAAACAGTTACCACTATGTGAATCATATATTTCAAATATACTTGGTTTATATACAAACAAAATCAGACGACATCATGCCATAAAATAAAAACTAACAATTATATTAAAAAGTAGCTGCGAACGTGGGAGACTGTAATCAACAAACTGGACATAACTTAAGAACACTAAATCATATAATAATGATCTATATGTCAAAATGAAGCTTATAATCAGAGGAATGTAAATATACATAATCTCGCTATTGAACAGTCACACAATAGGAATATATGTATTATATTAGTCCATAAATAATTCCTAACGGTTACCAGTCATTTTTTCTCGTCCGAATGTAACATTTACCCTGTAATAGACTAGATGACTAGTTTAATAAAAAAAAATATACCCATTTATATCTTAAAGCAATTGAGTAGTATATTATACATACCTTCAAAAGTTACCCATAATTTAATAATCTTCGCAAAGACATTGCATACTAGTAAGTGCATTTTTTTTTGTCGTTGTTGTTGCTGCCAAGTCATTCAGATTAATTTCCAAAATACTTTTTTTTTCTAAAAAAAATCATTTTAATTATTTTAGACAATATCTTGTGTTCAATTAGATCAATACAATAATCAATATTCAACGGAAAACAATAATCAATATATAAATCATATAAAAATCAATTCATCATTTCCTATAAATAAATCAATAAAATCGAAATCGATCACAAATTTTATTGATTATAATTCATTAAAATATAATAAAATTTTAAGAAAATATCAATATTTTATTGAACGACAATATAAATATCAAATGAATAATAATTTTAATCCATTATCAAATATAACACAATTAAAATCAAATTCTTCTGATTTATTATCAATCATTAAAAATACTAATCATCCTGAGCAACATCATCCTCATCAGCAACAACATCATCACCAAGAACATCATCAACAACACCAACATCATCATCGACCATTTCGTAATTTAATTAGTTCAAATCAACAAATTAATAATACAAATAAAATCAATATACAAAATAATTCATTAATTAATCAATATATTACTGATAATTATCAATCTATCAATAAATCAAATAATAATGGAACAATTTTACAATTAGCTCATTTATTAGATGAAGTATTAAATTTATTTAAAACACAATTAAACATGGAAACAACAAAACATGATGTTGCTGAGAAAAGGAGGAGGAGGAGGTTAGTGATAGGGGGATTAATAAAAATAATATTGGAAAAATGTTAATAAATCAAGAAAATGAAAAAAATAAACATAATTGGAATAATCATAATGTTATTAATCATTTAACCGATATGATACATGAAACAGTAGAGAAAAATGAAAATTTTACTTATACTAATGAATTAATTAATTCTAGTACAAGTTCTAATGAAGAAAATCATGAATTAATAAATAATAATAATAATAATAACAATAATGATAAGTAAGTTTATAATGAATAATTTAATTAATCTTAATTAGATAATTATTAGATGACTATTATGTCATAATATGAAACTTCTTAAAATAGAGCATATCTAATGCCCTTGTACGGTTGAGAGTAGGAAGAGTCAGTAATCCTTCTCCAAATAATCTCATATGATCACGTGTATACAGCCACTGTCAGGGAAGTACTATTCACTGCCTTCTCAAACCAGAGGTGTTGTTTACGAATGTGAGAGGACGAAAACCAACGCTGTAACTGGGTTAGTGGATATGGAGGGTCAATATAAGGAGGTTGGAAAACCCTAATTGCAAGCTAATCGTGCTCATGGACTCCAGGATCCTGAGGGCAAAATTGCGTATGAACCAATTGTTGATCACTGACTACCATGTGACTGTATCTCCTGATGTTGTTCCACTGCCTTGTAGATGGACCTTTAGACCTAAGGCTCGGGGTGTGGCACCCTAAGAAAACCACTTGCTTCAGTTTAGGCACCGGAACAGTATCCCAGCCTTCTATACAAATCGAATGATTTATTTGGTGCATATCTATTTGGTGCCTCCTTGTACTAATGTTTGTGTGTTTAAATAAATAAATAAATAAATGAGAATACGACCTTGTGTTTAGGAGTCTAATCCATAATCTTCGGTTTTATCATCGAATCCCCATACCCTTTTATCAAAGGTCTATTGATGTAGAAGTTTAGCTTTAATCTTTGTATTGTAAGCTATTCTTTGATTATCTATATCTTATTTCAAGCTATGGCAATTCAAATTTAATGACTAGTATGTACTTTTAAAAGAAAATAATAATCATAGATGCTACTGAAATGTGAGAAATCAGTGTCTTAGAAAAAAATTTTTTAATTCACAGAAAGCATAGATATAATAGAACAAGTTTTAAATAGCAACAAATATGACATTTAGACATCGAAAATGAAAATTTTTCTTATTCTACTTAGTCTTTTTTGGAAGCTTCATTTCACTTGACTGGTTTCTAAATGAAAACAAGACTTGAACAGAATATTAATATATTCTTGTCAAAATAACATTTCAATCCAGATAACAAATTTTCAGTGTATATATTAGATCTAAAGGTCTTATCCATAAGGCAGTGCATAAACGTCAAAAGGTGCAGTCTCATGGTAGCCGGTGACCGACAATCGGTTCATGCGCTGGACATTCAGTTTTCATCCTCTCAATATCGTAAACAACACCACTGTTGCGAGATGTCAGTGAGTAGGACTTCCCTGGTAATGATGGTATGCTCATGACCATGTGAGAGCATTTCGAGAGGGACAGCTGACTCTCTCCACTCTCGGCTGTAACACGGCATTTAAAGGCCTTTTCGACATTATCAAACATTGTTGCCTTCTATTTAAATTATACACTTAATATACCTATCTTTCAGCTAATAGTCTACATTTGTCTACATTTGAATCGTAGAATTATTGATTGGTAGCCGGTGTTGCTCCTTAAATTCACCGTGTTACTATTTAGTCTTGTTCTCGTGAAAATATGTGATCATCTGTTGAAAAATCAAGTAAGAGATTTATTACCTTGTATGATTGTGGTTACATACTATTACTAAGGAGTTTCAAATTAAGATGAAACAAAATCTAAGTCAGTAAAAATTTGTTTATTGTAATCCGTTTTTAGTTCAACATAAATAAAGTTTCTGAAGAAGCAGCAGTTTATATCGAATTACGAAACATTAGAAATACAATTTTTTCTACTCATTAGAAATATCACAAGTAGTATATTAATTGTTAACTTTCTACCTAATGCTTAATGAATTTGACATTGATACTTTCATCTGTTACTTATCTCTTTTTTTTCTCTCTCTCTCTTTTAGATCACATATTACGATTCAATAAATAAAATTTTAAAACATCCAGAAATTGAAAAACGATTTCTTCATTTAGCAAATTTACTACATCAAGTATCACATGGAACTCAATGAGATTGTGTATACCATGACGAATGAAAAATAGGTTCAATATAAGTATCCAATTTGAGTGAATACATCAGAAAACAATATCTAGTTAATTTTGTAAATAAATGAAAAACAACATTGAGAAATCTGTTATTATTTTTTCTTTCTTTTATTCATCACATTTCATCATTGTCATCATGATCATTAAGAGAGCTGATTATTGGACATTCTATTTGATCAAAGATTTGTTTTATATTATATTGTTGTCTAGACAGTTAAATATATCCACACAAACACACACACATATATATACATGCATACACATACAAGCTTGAATCAAGTTTTCCGAATTAAAAGAAAACAATAGAATAAAGACAGCAAATATTGTGATTTCTTTCCTAGACAAAATGATCTAATCACGAGGGTATTTATATGTTCAATCCCTCTCCTTTTTTTTTCTTGTTAATCTCCATTATTCACATGATTTACATGAATTGCCTAAAAATACACATGTGTGTTTATGCTATACATGTTATAAGACAGTTGAATACTCATCACTGCTCCATCTCCTACAAAAAATAATGATAAAACCGAATAGTTGTAAACATTCTCTTTTCTTTTCAACTTGTATCCTACATTATTTTACAATCTACTGATTATTGTTAATCTGATTATCATTATTCTGACTTTTGGCTTGTTTTCGTTTTGTTTTGTTTCGTTTTGTTTTGTTTTAACTCCAAGTAAATTTTTATTTTGTGTTTTATTACGGAAGAATCAAAATTACTCATTCAGTTACATAATCTTCATTTTGTTTCGTTTAATATTTTCTACTGGTGTTTTTAGTACGATTCAATAAGTGACATATTTTTTCTCATGCTCAAACAGAATAAATGAAATGGTAAAAAAAATATACATTTGTCTTGTTTATCGAGAAAATACTTATAAGTAGTATAAAATATTGATCAAAATTATAGTGGATTTTCATAAAGTGTTTCATTTAATATGTATGAATATTAACGGTTCCATAGATTGTCGTAGTGCTTTGATTGTAGTGAACAGAACACGGGTTTGTAAAATAGAAAAACCATATAGCAAATCGTTAATTTGCAAAATATTAATCCATCATAACAACCTGGATTGTTTTTCTATTGCAAACATTAATCTGTTGTCTCACATTTCATTGCCCATGCGTTTTCTTACAAATTACATTGTGTTCCCACTCTTCCTTTCTTGATCTTCCCTCATCTGCTGCCAGACATTACGTCATATACTACTTACATCAATATAAGTAGCACGCACCACATGACTAATTCAAATTAATTTGATAGACTAATTAGAATAATAGCAAGTGTCAATCAGTTTTATAGATTATATCTTAGTAACAGCTTTCAATTAGCGATTTCGTAGAATATGTAATTACAGAGTAGTTACAAGTTTTGGGCTTGAATCAAGTAGTGAATGTGCTTGTTTGTTTTGATATAAACTGTATGAGCAACATGAACTAACTATAAATCGTTTACTTTTTGTCTTTAGTAGTCCACTTAATTATGACAACTTCTGTAGTGCGCAAGTGTTTGAAAGGTTTGGATAAAGAAGAACTGTTATAATCAGATGGTTATCTAATCTAAGTTAATTGGTCCACTGATAAGTTTTATCGTGAAAACATGGTGAGAGTTACGTGGAATCGTTTAGAAACTCTTTTGACCGTTCCACTTATCTTGGAAGTCTCATACATCCTGGTGGGTTGTCGTGTGATGAAGTCTCTACAGACTTGAAAAAGTCTTGGCTCTGATCAAGTGTCTTCACTTGTAATATAGACGAGTCGTTTGTCTGTCAAGAAGAGACTGAGTATACTGAGCAACAGTGAGTTATTTTCGACTTTATTTTTGCTAAACAGAAGTGAAACATAACCGCTGATTACTGATATATGATAATAGATGTTTTCGAAGTATTTCTCACGTACATTTGGGCCATTAAGTGAACGATGCTTGTGTTATGAGAAACATACCGGATAAATATGACAAGGCAGTCGATGAGATAGTGAACCTTCATCATCTGAAGTGGTTGTGACACGTTTTACATATGGCCAACCAGAGCTCATCTCGACAAGGAATGCTTGTTAGTGGAGGAACGGATATGAAGAGGGCTAGGAGTAGTCAGATCGAAATTCGACACCATTCAGTAAATTCATTGATTGTTGAACTAGGACATGTTGGCTTGTTGGAATATCCTTGAATGTCATAATTATTGGTTGAAGGCGTTGCCTGTAAGTGAATAGGAGTATTTGCTTAGTCTAGCCGTGGATTAGTATTAGTATTAGCATCAACCCTTGCAATTTATTCCACTTGTCATTATTTCTCGTATCGTATCGTTTATCAACGCTTATAGTGGGATTTGCCATGACAACTGAATCTCGCTGTGCTGTTATAGTATGGCGAGTTGATCCGATATAGATAAATAGCAGGGCCTACATTTCACACGACTCATTGACAAGGTGGAAAATTATAGATGGACGAATCGTCGAAGCACATGTTTGAGCTTTTGCATCACGAAAAAACCTGGTTGTTAGAGCTGAAAAACTGGAATAAGTGTTACGTGATAACCTATGTTTGGTTACTGAGCAATAAAAATCGCTATTTCTTTTTATATTTTAACAGATTCGTTTGAAATTTCTAATCTTGGTTAAATCCATTTAGAGTGATTGCACTTTGAGTCAGTAAATTGTTCTAGCTCTATGGTATGCTTATCAGTCATTGGTCTCAAGTATATGTCTGCGCATACGTAATCTAGATTGGTGATCTCATTAACTTGTATTTAGTTTTGTGGTCTAGTTTACCCAGTCATTTTATCCACTCGTTTATTTTGTACATCGATCAGATCTACAGCATAGCCCAATGTATCAAATCCTTTATTATTTTCTACCGTTATCACATTGACGATGCTGGAATTAAAATTGATCTATGCAATCATCCTACATTGTTGTCGTATATCATATTATCAGTCAAAATAAACATTTGGGTCATTTTGTGCAAATGTAATTGCAATTTATTAGTATTTTGAAGAAAAATGTTCCCAGTGGTGGGAATTCTGAGCAATGAATAAATATTCTTACATTAGATCCTACTCGTTCCAATAATCCAACTTTGTCTACTGTAAAGTTTAATAAATGTATGGAAAATGTTTCAGATAAGTTAAATTCTCACCACATTTCTTATGACATCCAAAACAAGTGTTGCATTTAACAATAACTAGTTCATGTATGTCGAGCAGAATCCACATGTGATGCTTTTATGAATTGGGTATGAGGCAGTTTTTCAATATCAAATCTAGAAGGTAGTTCTACAATATACGAAAATTTATTCAGTTTAAAAATGTGAACAATTTAATGCGGGATCAGTGGTCGAGAAGTCAAACATTTGACAATGAACTTGAAGGTTCAGAATTTCATCTTTAGCAAGAGTGTAAATGTAAACTGTTGAAGTGTCTTATAGCGGCATGAAACATTTATTCACTATTTTACTTATTTATTTGTTTTAACATATAGATATTGGTACAAGGAGGCACCAAATACGTATGCGCCACACATATCTCATTTGATGTGTGTGAGGATTGTGATACTGACCGGGTGCCCAAACCGAAGCAAGTGGTTCTCTTACGGGACTACACCCAGAGCCTTCGACCTAAAGGTCTGATCCACAAAGCAGTGGAGCATCGTAAGGAGATGCATTCCCATGGTAGCCGGTGACCAACGACTGGTTCATACGCTATTTGTTCCCTCAGGATACTGGAGCCCAACTCCAGTCCAACTCCCCTAGGTGGACTCTCCATGTCCACCAACCCGGTTAAAGCGCCGGACATCCGCTTTTCGTCCTCTCAAATTCGTAAACAACACCACCGCCACGAGAAGGTAGTGAGTAGGACTTCCCTGGCAGAGGCTATATACGCATGGCAACGTAATACGTTCAATAAGTGATATCGATTGTTAATTGTTTCAATGATTCTAAATGAATATTTCTATACTCAAAAAAGAAAAACTATTGAACATGTCATGATATCGCGAAACGTTTATTCAATATAACTTAGTTACTAGCAAGTAGTTAAATTTAAATTCTGATAATGAATTGATTATAACACTGAAAGTTTTAACCAATCAGGTTAAATAGATTGAAAACATGAATAGGGCAAATTATAAGACAGACATCCAATGAATATTTCCTACATGACAAATCACTTGTTTTTGTTTATCATACAATAAGGCCGAAAGTTCTAGATGCTTACTGCCTACCTGTTCTTCACATGTATATATATGTGAAGAAAAGATAATGTAATTTGTGGATAAAGTTTAAAAAGAACAAATGAACAAACGGTAAGTTTACTTTTATTTATCTTAATTATTGATGATTCATATAATAATATATTACTAAGATATTCAGTCCTCATAGGATACATAATAATAAGACAAAATCATATTGTTATACTAAGATGATCTTAGATCATTATGATCATTATGATCTTAGATGATCTCAAAGAAATCAATATTCAATTATACAAGACACTAGTCATTATTTACTGGGGATTATTTTTAAATACTGACAGAGATTAAAGAATATCCACAAGATCATAAGAATTGTGTCTATCATAATTAGAAAGATCCTCATAATTAAGATAAATGGAATGATTCAAAATAAATATTAGAATGAACTATGATAATGATGCCTTGTGTATTTTGCACGAAATTTAAAGTGCATTGATAGATAAGTTGTATGTTATTATTAATGAAATGAAAGTTGACAAGGATTGATTCTTACAATGTTTGCAATCAACTCTGCCTGGAGTCCCTCTGGGGGCTACTGCCGGTCCCAAGCCCAGATAAAGGAGAAGGGTTGGGCATGCGGTTAGCGACCCAATCCCGTAGAAAACTAACTCGCTAAAAAACGCTAATCAGAAAAAATTATTCCAAAAATGCTTGTAATCAATTAGAACATCTATTATGCAATCAAAATGTGAATTTTAGATGTTTAAGCTAA